TAATTCAATTTTTAATTTGTATTATTTTATGTGATTTTTCTAATTGAGAAATCATGATGATTATGTTGTAGTATACCATGTTTGATATGGGTTTTTTGTGTAACAATCGAAAAAACAACTTAAAAATCAATTTTATAAAATTGAATTTTGTCAATAATAAGTCGTTTAATTAATGGTGAAAAATAGGTTGTTGTTATTCACCAATTCCGTGTTTTGATTTTATTTTTTTAATTCTTTGGTTTGTTTTGTATGGTTTTGGGGTTTAGAATAGAAATCATATTTACTGATTATGTGTTTTGGTAAGTGATTTGGTGAAATTGATCGTTTTTAGTACATAATGATGGTGTAAACATCAATTTTTAACCATATTATACACCATTTCGTATATAACTTTTTTTTTGGTGATATAAGAAAATATGATTGTATATTTCAAATTTGATTTTCAAAACTGTTGTTTAGTAGGTTCTTTAATTATTTTTTAAATGTATTGCAGGAATGTATGCGGATTTCAAGATTGAAGGATTGATATGTGACACAAATACCAATTGAAAATAATAATTCAAGAAATCTAAAGTAAATTGTAGAAAATGTGTTATAGCCTATGGAGGATCACAACAAAAAAAACTTGTACCAAATATCCATATGAAGATTAGCATTGTTGAGTTGATTTTTTTTTAACACTTTTTTCATAATCTAATTGAATGATATTTGTGGATTTGAATATTATTTGTTGTTTATTAAATATATATTTTTTCAGAATCATATTTAATTGTATGATGTAATTAGTTCTATTATTTATATATGTTGGTTTTCCTTGTGGTGTAAAATGTCATTTGAAAAAATAAAATGACACGATATATAAACTAAAATTGGTATATTACATGGGGTAGAATTCAATAATTGTTGGTATATTATATTGTACAATGTTAGTATTATTATATGGTACAATTTTGATATTATAAATTTTCAATGTTATTCGCAAATAGTGTCATATAGTTCTAGTGTAATTTTAAGTTCCCAAGTTTGTACTAGTGTTAATTGTAAAAGATAATATTATCAAAATAATAATTTTCATTATGTTATAAACTGACAATTTGAGAAAAAAAATAATGACAAAAAATATCAATAAGTTCAATTTATTAAATGGTGCAGATGTTGCTATAATATTTGTATTTCACATAATACAATACTGATATAATTTTGGTATTTTAGATGATACAATGATGATATAATTTTGATATTTTAGATGATTAAATATTGGTATACTTTGGTGGTTTAGATGATGCAATATTGATATATTATATGGTACATATATTTTGTTTACACAAATTTGATATATTATATGGTATATATTGGGGTGTAATATAATATTAACATATTATATAAGACTTAACACCAAAGTTGTATGGAAATCTAAATAATATTCAAGTTTTTAATTATTTTATTAAACTTTCTAGATTTAAATGGTTATTTAAGTCATGCCATAAAAAAATAAAATATTTTTTCAAAAGAATAACGTAGATAAATTTTAGAAATTTCAGGAAAAAAAATTGTCATAATAAAAGAAAAAAAATATTAGTATGAAAACAGTTTTAAAGAGGTGAGAGAATACTACAATTAATAAATGATATAATTATGGTTGGAAAGTCAAAATAAACAATAATTATCAATTCCATAAATTTAGCACATAACCCCCAAAAATAGAAAATCAATCGAATACTAAAATATATTTAAAAAAATAATCGAAAATTCAATATATGAAAAAAAAAAACAGCATAATTATGATTAAAAAGCCAAAAAGTAAATAATAATTATCACTACCATAAATTTAGCACATAATCCCCAAAAATAGGAAATAAATCGTATAATAATTATTATTTAAAAAAAAGGGAAATTCAAGATATGAGTAAAAAAAAATACAATATAAGAGTAAAATTATGGTTGGAAACTCAAAAGGTAAACAATAATTATCAATCCCATAATTTTAGCACATAACCCCCCAAAAAAGGAAATAAATCAAATATTAAAGTAATTTTAAAAAAAAAATCGAAAATTAAATATTATGTCATGTTTTTAATTAAAAACTTAGTTTTGTAAATAAAAAAGAGTATATTTATATATTGTTAATTAAAATCTTAAATAGTATATTCTTGTAATTTTTCCATAATATATCTAAACATTGAAAACTATAAACTAACTAAAAATATATTAACAAAGTAGATTATAAATAACATTTTTTATCTATAAATAAAATAAAATAAATATAAATAAAATAAAATAAAATAAAATAAAATAAAATAAATATATATATATATATATATATATATATATATATTTATTTATTTATTTATTTATTTTAATACCAAACCATGAGTGATCGATTTTTTTTCAACTCCAAAGCAATAAAACCAAACGACAAATCATTTTTTTCAATTTAATTTGATTCCTCAATTCGATTTGATTTTACAATTTGACTTGTACACCCTTACATTGCCCCCTCTTACAATGCCCCCTCTTACAATTTGTCTTGCAAGTTGCAATGATTAGTAAGACTGTCTTATATTTGCAGCAGATGTTATTGATTATTTTTCCCCTCTTCTTAGAGGGAGAATAGATTTTGCCGAGAATTAGAAGTCTAATCGAGGATCATTTGGTAGAGTATATAAGAATAATGTTGAATAGGGTGTATTAGTAATGTTGACATTATATATATATATATATATTATTTCTTATGTATTATTTAATTTGGTGTATTAGAAATAACATGTACTACATAATTTCTAAAAAAAAATATATTTTATTATAAAAATATCCTACACAAATAGTGGAAAAGATGTAGAGAGGTCATTTTTGAGAGGCAATTATGTTTTTAATTATGCTAATGCATACATTAAAACCCCTTGCATTACTAGTACCATAGATTTTTATGTATTCGTTATACATACTTTAATATCAAATAAAGTGTGCATTAATTATATATAGATTGAAAAAATATACCAAAAAAGATACTATATATCAAATAAACTAATATATGCATTATTTTTTTCTAATGTACTCTATCAGACAACCTATTGGTATTCAATATTTACGAAAGGTAGGGGACAATAAATGATCATAAAGTTCTTTAAATATATGCGGTAACATGTGCTACATGATTCAACATTCATGTGTGTGTGGAGAAATTTAGTTGATGTACTCTTCGATTTAAATTTATTTGTTTTACTCTTTTTTTTTAATGTTTATTTCTTTAAAAAGAATGTTTCTTTTTTTTATAATTTTTTTATTCTAACTTTTCCCCTACCGGAAGATTATAAAAATCTACATATTTTAAATTTAAGACCATGAGAATCAGATCATCTTCAATCCACTTCTATTTTACTCTTCATTCTCTATATTTGGAGAGTAAAATAGAGAATGGGCTCTCCAACCATTTTCTAAATGACTCTCTATCCTCCATTTATAGAGAGGTGAATAGTAGTTCTCCAAATTTGGAGAACTACTATTCACCTCTCTATTTCACTTTTTTATTATTTTATTATTATTTTTATTATTTTGTAATTAACATATTATTTTTCATATAAGACCATTAGTTATATCTTTATTATTAGTAATTCATTTTAAATGTAATATAACATTTTAAAAAATATATTATTTAAAATATACTACTTTCATCCCGAATTAATAATGTTTCAATTTTTTTAAAATTTCGTCACTTTAATATAGTTTGATATCATTATTAATTTTCACTATGAAGAATGCACAAAATTAAAATGCAAAGATGAAAATTTTAATTTAAAAATACAATACATAACATAATAATTTAAATACAAGATAACAATACATAACATAATAATTTTATCACAACAATAATTTAGTAATCCGGTTGGTCGGTTTTAGATTTAACAATATTCGGAAAAAATTAGTGTATGATCCACATAATTAGTGTTGTTGTGATTGCGGTTGTGCTTGTTGATTTCTTTTTTCAATTATTCGTAATTGTTCTTGTTGCATGAAAATCTCCGTTATGAACAATCTTTAGCTAGACATAAATAATTAAGGATAAATATGCTTATTTTAAACTCCGTAATGTATTAATAGAGTATTTATGGGAGCAATATAATAATCTTGAAAGTAGAGTATTTATGTAATTATATTTCATTATTAATTTCACTTTTATTTGAATTATCCATTAATTTGTATATTATATAATATTAACTTGCAATTTATGTTATTTAGAAATTTAAGGGGAAAATATAATTTTATAATAAGTAAAGAATTTGAAAAACTAAATTTTTTATATTAGATGAAAATTATATAAAGTTATTATTTGGAAAAAAAGAAATAAAGGATGCATATTATGAAATAAGAATGAAATAGAAATAATAATATAATGTTGAGGAGAGAGAATTTATTTTTTTAGAGAGTAAAATAGAGAATTGGGTTGGAGTTGGTTGTCTGAAAAAAAAAACTTTATATTTGGAGAGTAAAATAGAGATTAGTGTTGGAGATGCCTCATAACTCTTCTTTATTTTTTAAAATTTCGTGTCAAATTAAAATTGGAAGGAAACGATAAATGAGTAAAACACACAATTTCTCTTTTGAATATTTGTGTATTTATCGAATGACTTCTTGTCATATTACTTTTCTTTGTGCCATCAAATGACTTGACAAAAGAAAAGAAAAAAAGATCAAAATGCTGACATGGAATCCACGTAGGACCCACTCAAAAACAACCCCAATCACCTAGAACCTGACAGCGTAAAACCGTCACAACTGAAGTTCGTTACTGACAATCTAAAAAACCGATCAGATCAAATATAATTAGGCAATTTTTTCAAATATAATTATTACCCACTTCATAATTATCAACAATTTTCTTTCTAATTCTAGAATAATCCAAAAATAGAAAAGACAAAATTAAATTGTCAAACAAAAAGATTGTTTCTTGTTTCAAATTTTTAGGACACTTTACATTTTCCTGTGGTTGAATATTTTTTTTTCATTTTGAGGAGATATGTCAGATCCAAACAATTACAAGGCAACAGCTGTACAAACACCAACGGCACCTCCATGCTCTGTAGACACGGAGAGCCAGACTCCAGCCACCGGAGGTACACAGACACAGAATCCTCCGGTGGCTGGCACTGGGGTGGGACGATTCATCGAGAGATGGAAGAGAGAAGATATGCTGAAGAAGGGTTGTTTCGGCTTACGTTGTATTGCTTTGCTTTTCTCATTGTTTGCTTTCATAATCATGGCTAGTAATAAGCATGGTGATTGGAGAGATTTTGATAAATATGATGAATATAGGTACATATTTATGATTTCACATGATATGAAGCTAGTGTTTGACCATAGATTTGAATTTTGAAAATTTATCTTCAGATATCTGTTTGGACATGAAAATCTTCAAATATCCTCAAGTTTCAAAAAACTGTGTTTTTGGAACTTCCACTCACCAAACTTGGATCTTTTTTTTCAAAGTAAAATGCATATCCAAACACAAATGATCAAAAACTCAAATATTCAAGTTTTCAACTTTAAGATCTATGGCCAAACAGGAGCTATACTAACATGCTAAATTCGCCTTGTTTTATTTGTTTTATGATCTTTGTAATTGAATTGTATTTTGGGATGCTGGCAAATGCAGGTATTTGCTAGCTATAGCAATTCTATCTACATTGTATACAATATTGCTAGTGCTGATTCAAGTTTACCAACTTTCAACTAACAAGGAAATATTTTCGCGGAAGAATTCAGCTTTTCTCGATTTTTTTGGTGATCAGGTTTGTGATTTCTTTTTTTTACATAATAGAACTGTTAACTCTGTGAATTATCCATTGATTTGGAATCGCGATTGAATTGCAGTTGATGGCATACTTGTTACTATCAGCTGCTTCATCTGCTGTACCGCTGACAAACAGAATGAGAGAAAATAATGACAACATATTCACAGATTCTTCAGCATCAGCAATCGGCATGGAGTTTGTGGCATTTCTAGCTATGGCAGTGTCAGCTATCGTTTCTGGATATAAACTTTCGAAACAAACCTACATTTGATAAGATAGATAGCACTCAAAACATACTGTTTCATTGATAATTCTTTTGATTCTCTACATTTCCTTCATTTGTTACAAATGTATCCACCTTTTGCTCATTGAAGAAGTCCTCTTTCTGTATCTTTCTCTGTGTTGTTCGTTTGGTAAATCAATTAGTTGAGGTGTAGAAATTTCCACAAACTTCTAGAAACATCATATGCAGACGTAGTCAAATCTGATTTTTGCATCAAGAAAAGATGGTAACCAAATGTTGATACCAACTGAAGGACAATGCTTACTGATAGATGTAACTACTCGCGTAGAAAGTGATCATTTTAATAATGCAGTTTATCGTCAAAGTCTAGAAATGAACTCTGGTATGGTTGGTGGAAGTTTCTTCTTGATTTATTGTTAAGCAAAAATGAGAAACTCAGAGGGATACAACTGAACGGTAACTTCTAAAGAATGAATATTCAACTTCACACACGAAAAAAAAAATATCAACTTTCAACCATGAAACCTCAGTCCCACCTTACACTGATAAATTTGTGTATACAAAAAAGAAAAATCTTAATAAGAAGTTACAGATGCTAAGAAATCCAGAGCTAGGCTCGAAACAAATAAAATAATGGACTAACTCTTATTGTGGAATCGTAAAACCTAACTACGTATTCTAGAAGGAAAAAAAAACTATCATAAGTTACAACGAATACAGTGACTTGAGAAAGAAATCTCTATCTTTTGTATTTTGGTATGGAGGAATTTCAGTTAAGGAAAGAGCTGAAGAATAAATCATCTTTAGGTTCTTCTTTGCTTATCGGCTTGGAATTGTTCGTGTGCTGCATTTGATTCATGTAAGATCCCGATGAGTTACCAAATCCTGAATAACTTGAACTTCCAGAGCTCTGTAGCATCTGCAGGGTGATTGGTGGTTGGATCTGCGTTGTGTTAAAAAATGTGTCATTAAAATTCATTCCCTGATTAGAATGATTAGCCAACACTGTAGGCCTAGGAACTACTGGCATGTTGTTGTTGCTTCCAGTTGGAGGTCTATTCATTGCATAGCTACCACTACCACGTGCTGCAGGAACATCATGGTTGTGTTTTCCTTCATAAGTTGTGATAACTGCTCTTAGATCATGAGATGCTCGTTCCACATGCTTCCTAACCGGACATCCAGTAAATGTGCACTTGTAGTAACTCCTATAAAGACATAGCAAAGACACACATTTAGACTTACTTTTCATTCAAAATTTCAAGGACATGACCTAAGAACGGGGAACGTGTGTCATAAGAGATTTATGCTAACTGATCATTCAATTCTTTGCATAGTAAGATGTATTAATGAGAAAAACAACTAATGTTATATGGTGTAGGGATTGCTAACCTTGGGTTTGGATTTCCTTTGACAACTTTTTGTCCATATTTTCTCCATCTATAACCATCATCAAGAATATCAATGTCGCTTGTGGTTTGAACTACGATTCTAGGTTCACGTACTGTTCTACTTGCAGATGATATAACCTCATTTTCATTGTCACCCTTCCTGAAAGGACAATTAACACGACAGAACATTTAGGTTTCATATCAATTAGTATCAACAAAAGGAAAACATTTGAAAGATTTCGTGTTAAAAGCTTACCATCTCTTTGCCTCGGGTTCATTTTCATCATTTTCTCCTGACTTACTGATAGGAGAGCCTTGATCAACATCCTCATCTCCAAAAGAAGCTGAAGAATTGTCTGTGACAGCAAAGGAGTCTCTTTGACCATTTTCATGAAACGCGTTTGGCTGATTTGTTACATCCAAGTTGGAGTAAGCAAGGGTTTGAATCGATTGTGAAGATGATCTTCTAGTGGATTGAGGTTTTGGATGATTATGGCTCCCCTTATAAACTATCTCAGTAATGTGTCCATCCAAGTTCCTTTCAACCTTCTTCTTTGTAGGACAATTGGGAAATGTACACTTGTAATAACTTCGCGGATTCTCACTTCCTTTCACTTGCTTTTGTCCATATTTCCTCCAATTATATCCATCTTCCGCCTTCTGTTCTCTAACATATTGCGATGGTTGACAGTAATGCACCGGAGCAGGATTATTCGGCATGTTCTCTTGAGAAAAGCTTTGAATTGGAGCCACTTCTGATTTCACTCCAGTTTTTGCTGTGGAGAATTCAGTTGTCTGTTGTTGCCTTGTCATTAAGTCTTCCTGTTTAAGTCAATTAATTAAGATTAGAGAAAGAAAAGAAAAGGCAATTTGTGGTTGTTGGTCTAAGAAGACTTTTATTAGTATCTATATTTTATTGCAAATTGCAATCTTGCTTCCATGTTATTACCAGGAAATGCACAACATAACTTCAAACCAAATATTATTTGCAAATTAATGTTTATTATACTGTTCTGTTCATTATTTCAACTTCAAACTTAGAATTTCGGAAATTGAAGTTTGATTACATAACCCTTGGAGAAAAAAGTTCAAAACTTATTAGGTGAGTATTTGGCGTGAAATAATGATTCTCACTCACAACACATCATTCATGTGTAAACACAACTTCAAACTTCCAACAAAATATTTCTTTTCAACTTCAAAATACTCTTGTTTTTTCAACTTCCAAATTGTTTCATTTTTATAAACTAAACTTTTCAGCAAATTAAAGAGATAGACATGTTATGGAATTGGAATATTTGAGGGGAATATTCTTGGACAGTTCACACTATATATTATTAACTGTCAATAAACTTGAAAAGTTTGACATTTCTTTAAAGGTTGATAAAAGAAATGGGGGTAAATACTAGTCAATGCATTACATATTTTACACAAAACCCACCTTTTTAGTTGTCACAATTCTTCAATTAACGAAAATCAATTTGAATAATTTTCGAATCGGAATAGTTCAATACTTTAAATTCCAAATACAAATATTTAAAAATTATATGAAAAATACCATAAAAGTCACAATATTTTTCATATTACATGGTCAAAACTCAACATTCACCCGGTTTGACTGAAATGTAAAAAGAAACGGAGGAAAATAACTTGAAATTTTCAAACAAGTTCTTACCAATGAGTTTCTTGGAGCAGAAGATTGAAAGATTGAGGATGAAGTAGCAGGCCTACTTTGGAAAGAAAATTCAGAACTCCTTGAATTCCCCTCTTTAGAATTCAAATTACCAAAACTCCCTGTAGTTGGTGATGAAAGAGTCTGTTCAAAAGTAAAAACAAAATCCCGATCAGACAAGTTAACAAAAACGTAATATTTTGAATAATTTTCTCGTAAAGAACAACTTACATTTGAATTGTTGAACAAAACAGGGGAGTCCAAAAGCATTGATGGACTTAAAGAATGCGGAAAAGCAAGATAAGAAGAAGGCGAAGCCGGTGATGAAGATGAGTTAATCATTGGAAATGACTTAATTCTGTCATCGCTAAATCCCCAATTCTTATTGTTGTTATCATTATTATCAGAAAGAAGATCGCTAAACGAAGAAGTCATGAATTGAGAAGAAGAAAATGAGTTAAATGAATTCATGATACTGTTCATATTTCCACCTGAAGAAGCCATTTAAAAAACAAGACAAGAAAATTCAAACTTATTGAAATGTAATTTGAACAAAAAATATTAAGAGGAAAAAAGATGACTACTTAGATTTTATAAAAGAAAAAGGAGGGGTGTGGTATTTGTAGTTATAAATTTTTTGGTGTTTTAGGCTTTTTCTAGGAAGCTAAAAGGTACTTTTGACCGTGGAATTTTTAGAAATCTTTTTTTCTAGTTTTTGTGATAGTCAAAGCTTGTGGATTTGACCAATTCTCGGCGGCTCATTCAGAAGGGAGCTGAGGATTTATCCTCTATGGTTAATAACATCGTACACCCACATGACACACACGTCAAAACATCTCCAACCCACCTCTATTTTACTCTCCATTCTCTATATTTGGAGAGTAAAATAGAGAATAGGCACTCCAACCCAACTCTATATCACCCTCTATTCTTCGTATTTAGAGAGGTGAATAGTAGTTCTTCAAATTTGGAAAACTACTATTCACGCTCTCTATTTCACTTTTTGAATATTTTATTATTATTTCTATTACTTTCTAATTAACATATTATTTTACGTATAATGTCATTAATTAAATATTTACTATTCATACTTCTTTTAAAATATAATATAATATTTTAAAAAATATATTATTTAATATATACTACTTTCATCCCAAATTAATAGTATTTTGTTTTTTTTTTTAATTTTCGTCGATAATATAATTTGATTTTATTATTAATTTTCACTATAAAAAATACACAAAATTAAAATAATAAGATGAAAAATTTAATTTAAAAATATAACACATAATATGATAATTAAAATACAAGATAGCAATACAATACATAACATAATAATTTAAATGCAAGATAAAATACAATACATAACATAATAATTAATTCGCGATGAAACAAGAATCATGCTGAAAAGATGTTGAACGTGCATTCGGAGTTTTACAATCACGTTTTGCAATTTTTGCAACACCGTCACGTTTTTTGAGAAAAAAAGTGCTACATGATATAATGACTACATGCATTATACTGCACAACATGATAATTGAGGATCAACGTGATCTTAATGCACCAATTTAAGATGTCGTAGAGGCTCCAACTCCAACGACACAAATGGTGGTAGATGAAAATCTCCGATTTAAACAACTTCTAGCTAGACATAAAAAAATTAAGGACAAAAATGCTCATTTTGAACTCCGTAATGCATCAATAGGGAATTTATGGGAGCAACATAATAATTTTGAAAATTGAGTGTTTATGTAATTGTATTTCACTTTTATTTGAATTTGTCCATTAATTTGTATATTATATAATATTTTCTTGCAATTTATGTTATTTAAAATTTAGAATAAAATATAATTTTATATTAAATAAAAAAATAAATTTTCATATCACATGAAAATTATATAAATTAATTATTGGGAAAAAGAAATAAAGGATTTATACTATGAAATAAGAAAATAAGAATGAAATAGAAATAATAATATATTATTGAGGAGAGAGAAAA